ATGGGGTACTGAGCGTAGATTAAGGAGAAAAAAATGAATTTGAACGATTGTAGTGTCAGGCTGCAACATAACAAAACTGAAAAAAAACCGAAGGGCGTCTGAATACTTTCCGAATGCACTGTATATGCACACAAACATACTTCCTTGTTCAAACATCATTGCCTTGCCTCTTTACTTTCTTCTCCCAGCTTTGAAATCCCTCCAGTTATATTCTCTCTACAAAACTTAATATATAGTCCCATATTCCAAGTGCTGTAATAAAAAAAGACAGAAATAATTATCCCTCACCCTACAACAATTAATCTTTTGCCTTCTTCTGAATCTTACAGTCAAACTGCAGTACTTCAGGGTACTCATCTGAAAGAAATTACATTGAAAAAAAAGTCTTCAACAAAAGCAACAACTTATCTACAAAAAGAAGGCCCTCTGAAATACAGTATGTTACCTCATTCTTGGACAATTCAGTAATATCACTTGCAAGCATGTTTAAGACTGGAGAGTGACTGATATGAAGATAACTTGATTTCAGAACTCAAAACCTTTACTTTTAGATAGGCTTTCATGAAACTCCTTCAACGATGTAACTAACACATAAGTCATAAAAGATCATTCCTGGGTTTAAACAGCTAAATATAATTCTTATTATTTAAAGCAAACTCGGTGTATTTATTGCTGTATAAGTAGAATAATGCTAATAAGTAGAACCATAAGCTAATAGAAGATTCAGATTTTAACATTGAATTTAATGCATACATAGTTGGGAAGCCCATCAGTTAAGAAATAATAGCAAGTTATATTGTTCCATTTTCAGATGATCTGAATATTTGGGAGAATTAACTAATTCCATTAATGGTAGTTTTATTGCCTCCTAATTTCAGGAAAATTAGCAAAAATTGGAGCAGCATTTAAAACAGCAAAAGACTCAATCACTTTTGTGTATGTAATAGCAGAACTAGACCAATTTATATTTTAATGGTTGAAATGTTTTACAGTTCATTTTGCAGTTGGGGAAGAACTAATTTGGTATGGATTTTCCTTCTTTTGTCCTTTGATCAATAGATCTTTTTTGTCTGTCTCCTGTTTCAAAATTAATGGAAGAATCCCCTTTTTGATAAACCTACACATATAGCTCTTTATTGAGCACCAGGGTAGCTGAGCCACTGTTTGAATCCTGGGTACTATATTGTACTTTTATTAAATAATTTTGGAAAATATATTTACTATACATTACATAGCTTGGTTCTCCTGTGATACCTTAGTTATACTTGAATTCTGAACTCTAAGCTGTTTTGAAAAGGATAATCAGAAGTTTAAAAAAACTGAAAAAATATATTTGCTGCATGTATTTTTGCCATTTTCTTTCCTTCAGGATGTTTTTCTTGAAGAAATAATGAACACTTAAGGTTGTTCTGAGGTGAGAACATTTGCATTTTCAGAAACAATATATTTGCAATAAATTTAATTAAAAAGAGAACATGGTATTGATTTTGAAAATTTTAAGTGGACCTCAATTATGTTTTAAAACCCAAATAAAAATGAAAAGGGATTGGGAGTTCAAAAACCTGGAGGAACTGAGATTAAAAAATATTAAGGGAAAATACTGGTAACATACAGTACAACTCCAGCAATTCCAAATCCAGAATTGCCGCTGTATAGCTCTCCTTGAATATATATTGTCGAAGCAAGTCTGTTACTCTGCCACATCACTTGGTCACTCGATGCAATTCAAAGTACACTCTAATCTACTTTTTCAAAAAAGACATCTAAGTATTCAAAGATCATCAACTATTAAACAGAATGTTTTCATTTCTCATGAGAATAGAAGTATAGATTTAAAAGCAAATTCAGCTGAAAACACCCTATTGTGAAATTTATTTACTAGAACTGACATTTATATTGTGGGTCAAGGAATTTTTAAATAATATATAGATTGGTAATCTTACAGTGATCTTCCTGAGATATAGATTGAAGGCCAATTCAGTTGGATCTCTTTTAATCTGCATACCATGGAATCACCAAAATAAAACATGCATTATTCCTGGTTTCTTGGGAGGACAAAAACTTTAGTAAATATTCAAGTTGCAGAGAAATATAAACTGTGATTTGGAAGTATGTTATGGACAGATTAAATATTAATCCTTGCTCACCTGCCATTGCATACTTTTCCCCCATCAAGTTTCCAGAAGACTGTGTGTCATGGCTAGGGGAAAAGGGTATGCAGGAGAGAAAGAGCAGGTCTATTAGCACTATTCGAGTAACACATTTTCCTCATTAGTTTCAAGACTTTAGTGAAAACACAATCTGTAGCTAAATACTTTAATCTCAGCCTATCATTACAATGAACCTGTAGAAGTTGAGCTACATTTTGAAATTATACTGATCTAGGAATCTGTAAAGGGAACTTTACAGGGAACTAGATACCCGTCTATATGCATCTAAGGGATTGAGAATTTGCCTCAGAAATTTCAAGAGTTTTTTGAAACTCCAGTTGCAGATGCTCCACTCAAAGGTCTTCTGAAGTTCCACAGAGCACCCAGCAGGAATCTTTGCTATGGAAATGCACAGCTTTCTGGATAACACTCTTCACCTAATGTTTGGAGAAATTACCATTCAAGTATTTATGTTTTCATAAGCAAGCCAAGTCCTTGTAGCAGATCATCCTGTTCTAATATACTGTAGCAAGTTTACTTTCAAAGAAAAATGTTCAAATTTAGTAATATAAAGTATTTTACAGAGTAGTTTAAGAGCTATATAAAGGGATCCAGTAACAAAGTTCATCACTATCAAACAAAATTTGGTTATCTGGATTCCAGGGGATCACTAATGATGCTATATAAACAATCTATGCTTATATATGCTATAGAAAAAAATCAGAGAAAGTGAAGGGCTATGCAATAGTCTCTTCAAAACAGTGTTCATGTTTCAAAATTAAGTTTTATTTTTCGGAGTGGGTAGAGTCTCTGTGGAGAACATGATGGTCTCTTTATTTTGAGTAGAACAGAATTACTGATCGTTTGTGAGGGTATGACTTCCACTTGTGATGTAAGATTTTTGACATCGCTTTTATTCTCTTTTTTAACTTCAGAACCAGAAATGATTTCTTGATGGAGTCTGCACTGTTCCAAGGTTTGTTGTAAAGACAATGCTTTTGAGAATCCTTCTGCTTTTTCTATGAGGGATGACAGGGACTGGAGATGGCAGAGAAAAAAAAACAATTTCAGGTTATTCAAATTGAACTACTATATATTGGGAGTACTACAATTCACAAACTGTCTTAATGAATTTTAGCAATAGTATATTAAACATTAATTCATATCTGATATGTATTACAAACCTTCCCTAAAACTGTTTTGCAATTTCAGTATGCATTTAAAAGGGCTGAAATTTGTAAGTAGATTCAGAACATACCTAGATGACACTAAGGATAGCAGACAAGTTCTGAATAGGTCTATTTAGTAGAACAATTAGAGATCACTATAGTCTTTTTTTTTTAAAGTTGACTCCATGAATCTCAGAGATTTACCCTTAGATTACTTTTGTCTAAATGAAATAGCCCATTAGAATTACAATATCTTAAAACACTTAATGAACCAGGTTACTTGTTTTCACAAGTGTCCTATAACTTTGCTTGACAATAAGTAAAAATTAGGGATTTGCAAAACTATGCGTTCCCTGGAAATGGATATTTGGGGGCTGGACTGTATGTAGAACACCACAAATCACTTCCTAGCCTGGAAAATTCACTTCTGGATAGATACAAACCTTTTCTAGAACTACTAGATCACTGAATTCCAGAGAGCACTGAAACATTTAAGGACAGGAATATGTAATTTTTCACAATTAGTTTCATTTTCAGCTGATAAATGTCACTAATTTGGATCCAGACTTCATTGTACTTACAACTATTTGAAGTCAATTGGAGTTGAGTTATTAATGCATATCCCATTATGTCTTGAACTGACTAAATCTAGATCCAACCCATTACATCTTTAGAAATCTCACCTTAAATGATTCTCCAATATGTCTAGACACAGTTTTTGTTGAAAGTCTCAGCTCCACCATAGATACATCTGAAAAAAAAAAAAAGAAATTCATGTATTCTCTTAGAAGAAAAACCAAGAAAAACATCAATCTGCTGCACTGTAATGTAAAAGAGAGAGAAAGGAATTATAAAGACATTACGGGTAGTCGTCTACTATTCCAAAGGGCGATTTTATTTAACATCTAAAAAGAAAATTATTCCAAAATAAAGAAGAGCACAAATGCTTTGTGGACCACCTTACTTCATTCTGCAATTTACTTAATTTTGATAAAGAAATTATATACTGTGACATTCAGTAAATTAGAAATAACTTCCATCACTTCTGAAATGCATCTGAAACATGCAAAATTAAATATAAATAAAATAAACCCTTTTTCTGTCAAATATATAACAGCTAATATGATATAGTGAGACTATAAGGAACTCAATTAGGGATACTTCATACTTCATTCAAAATCCGTACTCAGCACACAACTCAATGTGGCTTTAGATTGGCCATATCTCCATATAACCTAAACCATACAGTTGTTGCAAGGATATGACAGAAAAATAGCTATGTAATCTAATCAGAGCACCTTAGAAGAAATGAATGGATTATCCTGCAAAACAAACAGAAAAACAAGGTAATAGCAGACTTGTAAACAAACATTCATCTTGATTGCCTTCCAAAACTTCACGATCCCTAACCTGCTGGGTAGGTAATAAAAGCTCTTGTGTATTGGCAACCTCATAGTATTTTTTAATGAAGTTATATAAAGGACAAAAATCTTCAAGCTGTTATTAATTATCCCATTCTTTTAGCCTATTATTTATTTTAAAACCATATTTTAAAAAAGATTTTCTGACAGAAACCAGTGACATTAAACTGTTAAACATATAACAGCAAAACACATTTTTATCACAAAACGTTGAAAAAATACAAAACAGATATGGGGATTTGTACTCTCAGCACCATCTGGCAAACACAGATCGAATGCTTATAAATAAACTTTAATCCAGTGCTTCCCAAACTTTTTCCTTCATTACCCAAAACCACTTATCAGAAAGTCCTTTTTACCCAATGTAGGTAAAACACTTTAAGTCAATTTAAACATCCCTGTTGTGATTGGGTAATAGGTTCATATGTCATTACCCAAAGAAAAACCACTTTTACCCAAATTTGGGTAATTTACTCAGGTTTGGGAAGTACTGCTCTAATCCTTCATGCTACACAATTTTAATGCTGTGCTTACATTTGCTGCACAGAATGTCAAGTAGCTTTGACTCACAATTAACTTTTCCCAATTCAAAAAATTTGGGAAAGCACTTCTCAGCAACAATAATTAACACACACTCAAGCAGTATATCTTGAGCAATGAGAGGAGCATATTTTCAGAACAAATTGTGAAATATAGTCACTGGGTTGGATGCAGAAATTAGTCATGACTAAATCACCTCATTAATTTCAATAATTATCTTTTAAGCATAACTAAGTCTTGATTGGAAAGAGAGGCCCTCCGCATAATTTTTTTGGTGACTCATAAGTACTTCATGAGAGTGTGAGCCCTCACTGAAGAGTAGGGCATATTTCTAGTAAGAAGCCTTATAGGAGTCTTGAAATGGAGAAATGGGTCACTGCAATTACTTGACAGAGTGGCTTTATAAGTTTGGGACAGTCTCAGAACTGGAGGATCTGACAGCAATTTATAATTTGACAATCCTCTCTGAAACATTAAGGTAGGACAGCTAGGACTATGCAGTTATTTGGATGTTAGCCTTACTGATCCTAGGGTGGTATTTTCCCATATGATACCTATCTTCACTGTTCTTGTTGCCTCAGTTTTCTGAATTGTTTCTCCAAGCATCTGTGTGATGCTCCTGATTTTGCTTTTTGAATCTCTTTCCCAAATCCAATTTCTATTTTCCTATTGTAGCCAACCACAAGTAAGTGCAACCCAGCTGGGTGGCCTTGGGCCAGTCACTCTCTCAGCCCTAGGAAGAAGGCAGTGGCAAACCACTTCTGAAATCTTGCCAAGAAAACTGCAGGGACTTGTCCAGGCAGTTGCCAGTAGTCAACACTGATTCAAAGGCACAAAAATAAAAATAAAAATCTCCACCCTTTTTACATTTGATAACTTTTATATTGGAAAGTCATTGGGCTGGGAATTATCCTCTTGAACTTTGTAAAACTCAGTGAAAACTGAAAGTATTATAACAGTAATAAATTCCTTCTGGATGACTTATGATCAATTTGAGTGAACTTGGACAAGTTATTTCCCTTTACCTCTGCATTCCATCTATAAAATATGATTAGTAATGATAAAAGCTGCAGCATGCTATATATTGTAAAATCCTAGCACAATGACTGCTTGTGGGTTTTCCAAAGTCAAGTAAGCTCATTTGAGAAGAAACTGGATTATTCCAACCAACCTACTTCAGCAATCTTTATAAAATATGTTTGCCCTGGCAGAATATTACACAATCACACATCAGAGAAGTATTTAAAAGCTTAGTTGTTTACACTGCTTCCAAAACACAGGGAAATGAAATAAGGAAATGAAAGGTTATAATTCTATCTTTCATTTCTGGTGACTCTAGTTACTGCACAGGGATACATATACATTCCAGACAGTGTGCAAATACGTTCATTCACAATATATCTGCATGATGTTTTCATAAACATTATTTTCACTTTAGAAGATGTTTAAAAAAATTGTAATTGGACAAAAAGTTTTACTTTACCAATCCAGCTAACCTATGGAACTTGTGGCACATGTACGAGATAATTCTTTGCTGCAAATAAAGTACCATAGCAATGTTTTCGAGCTAGAGGAAATGCTGCCTGAAGGCAAGTTAAACTTGATAGTAAAATGTCATGTCTGTCTTAGTAAATTTGCAATTAGCAACTGCTATGATCACCTCAGTGAGAGAATAATTCACATTGTATCCCATAGTCACTAACCATGAACCCAGGTATAGCCCAAGTTTTTCATGCAGAACAACAATTAAATTTTCTATACTCCTAATGGTTATTCATTTTGTTATTTATTAAACAGTAAAATCTTGTTAAGCCTGAGACTGTCAATCAAACAGATTAAAAACTTGCCAATTTTCCATGTTTTATTTTTCATTAACAAGAAAAATAGTCTTTTCTGTAAATTATACAGTGCTAACAAAAACAAAGAATCAGTAAAACCAAGCACTCTTCTAGGCATTAATTTGCTATAAAGATTTTGCCACTTCCTTTGTTAGTCTACAGATAACATGTTCAGAATTCCAGATCTAAGATCCTGGCTCAAGATGTCATCTGTTTCCTCTCTCCTAGTTACCATATTACCAACACTGCAATATTGGATTCTGAGTTTTCAAGAGCCACTATACTAATTCATTGTCATTTTGGAGAGAGAGAAGGACTAAACTAGTCGGCAGTTTTGGTGAAAAAGTGCTTATGAACAGAAAATATAAAACTGGTATCAGTAAAATACAAATAGAAATTCAGCCACAGTACTGTATATCCTAAACACTTTCTGTAATAAAGCTTTAACAATATTAGCCAAACTATTGCTCATATCAATGTGATTATGTATTGGTTTGACTCAGAAAAGATATCTGAACCCTAGGAAAGCAGAAAGCATGAGAAATAAACCCCAAACAACTCCATCTTAAATGTGTTAGGTATAAGTTGGCATAGAGGATTTTGACAGGCTTTCAAGGGTCTGTAACAATATTTTAACTGCATTAAAGTATCTTCCAAGACTCCCAACGTTTCCTGACCTTGCCTACCTCAAAGAATTGACAACTATTTTGAAGAGCAAGTATATATTAAATTTCTCAGAACCCCAAAAGATGCTTATTCTTAAAATGTATATGGTTTACATGACAGAGTTCACATGTCGCATTAAGCCACAATATGGTTTGCTAATTTTAGTTTAGCATGAAGAATGCATAGTTTGCAATTTCAAGGTCTGTGTTTGAAACCATTTTACTCTGACTTGGCACGGTGCTTGAATGCTATCGCATAGGTTATTATAGTTAATTTCCTACACTGCTTCCTCAGTTTGGCAAAAAAATATACTGATGGAATGTTCACATGAAAATGAATCTGCTTTTGTGAAATTGGATTCACAGCTGCTTTATTTAATATGTTTATATACTGCCTTTCGCTCAATGGATCTCAAGGCAGTGTGCTTTGCAAGTATCTTAGTGATGTATACTTCAGGTTTTTCTCTTTGCCACTGGCTCTCTCACAAACTTGGCATCACCAACATTCATTTGCTTGTTTGTATAGATCACATTTTAAAGGTTTTGCATCCAAGTGCAAGAACAAATTGATCTACAATGTGCAAATCCATAAATCCAGAACTTGAGAACCAAAGCTTTCAAGTAATTGGCCTTATTGTTTATTGCCCCGATTGACATCTGAGTTCTTACTCTTTGGCTGGGCCTACTGCTGACAAATAGTTTCTGTGTGAATGCCCTCTCATGTATAGGTAATTTTCATCCTTATCTGTTGCTATCAGTGTCAGTAATAACATATTTTAATGCAATATGGCCGTGGTTTTGCAGATTCCTATGAAAGCAACTTTGTTATATAGCACATAGCGACTATGTGGTGTGTTGCCCTTATTTTCCTCAATCCTTTGATTTTGATTACATTTTAGATACAGGATCAACCTTCTGTGCATCTCTTATGCAGTGACAGAACTGTAAGAAAGCCTTGCATTGCGAAAGAAGTTACATGTCTCCATGTTTCAGCAATAATTGACAATTTAACTCTTTCCCTGTAGGCATTGGAACAAATCCTGAATAATTTCCTGAGTAAGAAAGGGGAGAAGATTGAGAGTCATTGCTTGTTACCTCACTGGGTCTACAACTGGAGGAGACATGATTTACAAATGCTCAGAGAACAGCTGCAATGAGAAACAAAAAGAAAACTGACTAGTTACAATTAGAAATGACATTGTTTAGTCCAAGAAAGTGAACCTAGCAGATGCTTACAATGTGAAAGGGGAGACTGGGGACAGACTCCTGATGGTACTGAGGAACCCACCATGCAGACGCTACAGTCAAGGAATACATTTCTGAATAAAGACAGTTTCAGCCTTGTCCAACAAATACTCCCCAGCCAGGCTATCTGCAGTTATTCCCATTACTCTTGTGCTGTTCAGTAGCCTTACCATCAAATTCTACTATCAAAATGTTGCAAGACTGTTGCAAGAACTCCCACCCTTATTTTCTTCCCAAATTTCCCAGGCAAATGACTGAACAGTATTTGCAATAATATGATTAAAATATTGATTTAACTGTCAGGAGATCAGTGAACCTCTTTCAAACATAAGAGAGCCTGATGTTCTAAACACGATGGCCTGGAAGGTGGTAATGTTAAAACCACAAACTTTATATAGCGTTCAGTTAATTCAAAACTTTTTTCCTGCAAAACACTGCTCCAAAAGCATAGCTTTGTCACCTTAAGGAGCTTTTCTCAGCCAGGGTTCTGTGACAGCTTGATTGAAAAAAATAAATATCATGTTTTGAACTTCACACATACCATGCTAATACAGTGATTGACAAGTTTTACACACAACTTAGCTGCCAACCCCCCTCTTTGTTGTCATTGTAAACATTGTAAATTGTGGATTGTGTAGGTTAAAAGTGAATTGTATTGTGAAGTTTTTGTATTTTTTACAGTTGTTATGCAGGGGTTCCCTGAGACCTGAACATTATTCAAGGGTTTCTCCAAGGCAAAAAGGCTGAGAAAGGCTGCCTTAGAGACTTCATACACTATGCTTTTTCTGACTAATATTCACATCAGATGCATGAGATGTTCCCTCATATTGCCAGATCGCATCTCATCTCATCTCTCTCTCTATATATATTATATACACACCTTTATATATCTGCCAATTTAGGATACTGTTTCCTGTAACTACTGGCATACTATCTAGTCCACAAAAGCTTATGCCATAATAAATATGTTTAGTTATCAAAGTATAGCATTACTTTTTTTTTTTGGTTTTGGTGATGAACCAAGAGAGGTTCCTCTATGGAAAACAACAGATAGATTATGGAGTGTTTAAAACATACAATTGTTATGTTCTATGAAAATAAATGAAGCATATCATTTCAGAAAATTACCTTGAGAAGGTTCCACTTTTATCTCTTGACAGTTCACGAAAGGCTGATATCCCTAAATAGACAAAAAATGCATTTAATGTCTGTTTCCTTGGTTTGCATTATAACTTCTAAAATGTGACTTAATTCATGGTTAAAACATTTGAAAAGTATATGAAAATTTTTATTCATATATGTATATGTATGAATTTCTCCAAAAACAGCCACTATCTGATGTGTAAATTCAGCAAAAGCAGGTTTTGCTGTCTCATTACATACAGGTAGTCCTCTCTTAACTTCCACTCTTTCAGTGACCTCTTGAAGTTACGATGGCGCTGAATGAGGGGCACTTATGATGGGTCTTCGTAGTTGCAGCCTTTGCAGCATCCCTGTGGTCATGTGATCACTATTCAGGTGCTTGGCAACTGGCTTGCAATTACAATATTGCAGTGTCCCACAGTCATGTGATCACCATTTGTGACCTTCACTGCCAGCTTTCAACAAGCTAAGTTAATGGGGAAGCCAGCAGGAGGTTGCAAATGGTGATCACGTGACTGCAGGATGCTGCAACCATGTAGGATTTGCCTAATGACAGCAACTGGGACTGCCGGACCTGCTGTCATAAGTTGCACCTTACGACCACGTTGTTTAGTGACAGAGTTCCTGGTCCCAATTATCATCGGTAAGCGAGGAATATCTGTATTAATTAGGTGAGTTAAATGCTGCTTATAATTCATTTTGTATTCTAATCTGAATAACCAAATTTCTGCATTATCTAACTTTACAGCAATTTGGATAACTAATAAAACAGTGCCCCCTGCTGCAAGGATTAGGAAAGGCAGATTCCTTCTTTAAAAAATATAAACTTTTAAAAATAATTCTAAGAGCAAAAAATATACCAGTGATTATAAAAAACTGAACAGCCACTTCTCCTATCTTACTCTGTTTTCCTGCAAATGTTTTACAGGTATTTTGCTTTTACTCAAAGCTTGTAAGGCAGGTGTTCTTGAACTCAAACTCAAACACAGTGCCCTAAGAAAGCCAGTAAGATAGAACTAGAATGCGTGTCTAAATTAGCCATGAAACAAAGAGCATATAGGCAGAAAGAGAAAAATGCTAGAAGGCACCTGTACAATGGCACATATATGTCTTAGTTACAGAATATAAAAAAAACAAGGAAAAGTGGAGGAAAGGTTTATTTAAAAAAAATTCAGATACTACAGGACATGCTGCTGGAGAGAATGTCACCTGGTTAATATGCAGTGAAGTGGAGACTTGCCTGGGACAAGGAGGAAGACCAGGAAGAAAATCCTGGACTGGCTTGAAAGAGTGTGGAAAGACCAGGAGGACAGACCGTGTTCTGCGTATGGAGATTCAAATGCAGAACAGTGGAACTTTGTGAGTTAAAAGCTCTGTTTGGCAGCAAGAAAGCTGGGAGAAAACTCACAGACCTTCCAGCATCAGTAATTGAGATAAGGAGGGGAAGAAAAAGCCGTAATAAAGTACAAGCAAAAAGTGAGGGAAAGAGACTTAAGAGGAGGAAAATTAAGTAGGTTAAGATTTTATTTCTTATATTCTTATATACCTACTGATTTTGTAAATATTTTCACTTGTATATAATACTAGATCATACTACTTTATTAGCATAGGTATCATATCCTGCTCACAATCACTCACACCTTGGTCAATTCTCGTACGGATTACTGTAATGCGCCCTACATGGGGCTACCCTTGAAGAGTATTCGGAAGCTTCAGCTGGTGCAAAATGTGGCTGCACAGGCAGTTATGTGCACCCCTTGATTGGCGCATGTTACACTTCTGGCTATGAGCTGTGTTGGTTGCCTCTTTGCTTCCCAGTGCAATTCAAGGGCTATCTGAGAGACTGCCTCTCTCCAATGACATCTACTTGTCCCATCAGGTCTGGCAGGAGGGTATGCTCTGGGTCCTGTCAGCCAAGGAATGTTCTCTGGGAGAGCCAAGAAGAACCTCTTCTGTTGGGGCTCCCACCCTGTGGAACATCCTCCTCCTGGAGATCAGAGTGTCTCCAACTCGGCTGGCTTTTTGCAAGGCCCCAAAAACACGGCTTTGCCAACAGGCATGGGGACCCAGAAGTGTGCTAGAGCCTGTGCAGTGGCTGTACTGCACACTGTGGAACAGCGGATGTGCTCACCTTGGTAAGAATTTTGCTATATGGTTTTTATATGTTTTTGTTTTAAATTGTTGTATCATTTTGCTGTTTTTATATTGTTTTTAACTGTTTGTGAGCCACCCAGAGTCACGTATTGAGATGGGTTGCTATATAAATTTGATAAATAAATAAATAGTATCCAGAATAAAAATCCTCATTTGTTTAAGTACTGGTTGTATGTGTGCCTGTAACAGCTCCTATTCTGAACCCCTCTCCGACAAGCACTTTTTAAAAACTTTTAAGTAACTAGGCATAAATATTTTTCCTGTATCACAATAACTGATAATAGATTTTAGAGATCACAGCATTAGCTCACCTCAGTAATACATATTAAGCTAGGCCACATAAGCTAGAATCTATTATTCACAAACATCTGCTAATGTAGTAAGCAAAATCATTATCTAATTCTCTCAGAATAAACATTTTCACCCAATGACTTAAGAATTCAAATTACTCACCAACAATTCTTGTTGCATTTTAATGCCTTTAACAACATTTATTTGCACTTTTCTAGGATACTGATTACGCTTGGAAGCTACTTCCACGATTAATTCATCAAGCTGATCTTCAAGGAGTTTAATGTCTGTGTCTATTTTACAACAAAAATAGAAATGTGTAATATTTGAAAAGTAGAGTATGTGAATTTATTTTTACTTTAATAGTCAAGAAAAAATATAGAAAGAGGTACGTATGTACCATCACCTCGATCAGAGATATGTGGAACTATAAAGGGGAAGGGAAAAGATATATTACAGCAAAATTTTTATTTATTATTAAGAATGTGAAACACAGCTGAACTTATGTTAAACGAATAAATGTATGATAAACAAATCTGTAAAAATCAGACCAGCTAAGTGATGATTTACTACATTAAAACCTTAAGTATTAACTGTTCAATAAGATATTGCTTAGAAATGATTACATTAGTTCCTTGCCAATAAATCATTTTAACTGGAAAAGACACAAAGAATCATGTGCAAAAAACTGACGGGGATGCTTCTCAAAGTAAAAGTAAAACTACAGGTATGGGCACTATAGTTACTAAGTATTTTGAGAAGCCTCAATGGTATATCAATGATTTCCTTTAAAAAAAAAAGCTAGGGAAAGAAGTTTGTCTGAATCTCACAACCAACCAACTACAGCACATCATGCATCCATCTTTCTACATGATGTGCTTAAAATTTAAACATATATGCACACTCATTATTTAAGTTTGTTTGGTACAAATACCATTTGGACCAAAAAAAAAAAAGTCCAAATACCAAAGTATTCAGTTTCATAAAAATCTATATTCACATCAAGAGCTCCAAGTATTCCTCAGCTCCCCAAGCTAGTTTTTAAATTATAAGCACAATTGTTCCTGAGTATGGCTACCAGATCCGGGCTGCAAAAATCCAGAGAGCCATTAAGAAATATAGAATGGTCTACTGATTTGCTGCCATCTAGTAGTTAGTCTGGTAGGATTTTCTTTTTTGGGGTGGCTTTGAGTCAGTGTTTACTCCTGGAGACTGCCTGGACAAATCCCTGCAATTTTCTTGGCAAAATTTGGGAAGTGGTTTGCCACTGCCTGCTTCCTAGGGCTGGAGAGAATGACTGGCCCAAGGTCACCCAGCTGGCTTTGTGCCTAAGCTGGAACTAGAACTCAGAGTCTCCTGGCTTCTAGCCTCATACCTTAACCTCTATACCAAACTGGCTCTCTAGAATTCATTACTGCTTATTAAAATAAAATAGAATTATTGACTCTGTTTATGAAATTTACTATTTCATTGCAACTAAAAGGAAATGTATTACATCTTTCTTTTTACAAACATTCAAACTTTATTCACATTTTAAACTAGAGAATCTTATATAAACTGTCATCTACAGACAATAACACGCCAACAGATGGCAGCAATAGACCCTTTAATTTGAGATGCCAGGAAAAGAATAGAAAATCTTTTGCATGCAAAGTATATGATCTATTATGTTATGGTCTCCTCACCATACAACTGAAGTTTCTCCTATAATATGTCTATACCTAAGATTTCTATACCAGACTAACAGTGCAAGGAATTGTATTGTAACTGTTCAGAGTAAAATAACTTCTTATGGATAAGGTTTTCTAACCATATTAGTCAACATCATTGTATATTAACTGGTTTTCCAACAATATTAGTCAAGATGATTGTACATTAATTCTAGGGATGCTTTTAAATTAACATACCGTTTTGAAGATCATCTGATGATTCTTGCCATGGCTGCCCATTAACAGTGACATTCTCTTGTACAGCCCTTTCAAAGTTCTGTACAAAATATACAAAGATATATATGTAATGATTTTTAAAAAGATACCTTAAAATGCTAATAATATTTCACAAAATGGACCACAGAGAAATGACACTGCTCATTGATAAACAGGGTTCTGACAGAGCACATTTAGTAAAACAAGCCCACAATATTTTCAAGCACAGTGGTGCTCCTATGTTGATAAGTAAATTGCAAGATAGCTTCCAACGTTCAGCACTTTTCTCCTAACACTTTTTCCCATTTCAGCATGATCAAGAAACAGAATGGATGACAATGCAGATATGGAAAAGCCTAACAGAAAAAATACAAAGAACTATGGAAAATAAATGCTTGTTTACAGGACAAGTATTTTATAAGAAGAAATGCATGCCAAATTCAACTCTATTAATATATAGTTACAAATACCTGAAAAAATACATTTGTGCTGCTAAACAGAAAACTCAAGGCAAATTAATGGATGTAATAGTCCATTGCTCTTTCTGAAACAGAGTGAATGGCCCAGTCTGGATGTTATATAGAAAGAAACTTACTTTCTCTCAAGGGAATAACTACAGGGAATCTTTGGCGTCTCTTGTGGTCTGCTTTCACAATTAATTACCAGCTAAAGGAAAGGATTTTTCACAAAAAAATAAGAGAAAGGAAGCTCTGACATGGTCTCTGGAGAATGTACATCCTAACTGGTAGAGAGTCTTTATCCCTTAGTTGTCAAAAATTACTTTCTGGAACTCAAAATAGATTTTTTATTTTTTTTTTGCATGCAAGCTAGCAATGGCAGAGGCATTATCAACTTGAAAATCATAGTTCTTTTCAAATCTTTATGAACTCATTAGATGACCATAATCAAGCCAGTCTTGACATACAGTATGCAGATCATACTAGTTTATATTATTTACTACCAGAATTACAAAATCTAAGCAAACTTACTAAGGAATAAAGCCCACTTAACAGGATTTCCAAGCATAACATAACACACAAATAATTTCAAACTTAAAAAAAAAACAACTTTACATAGCAAATACTCTTGAACCACGATAAATGCACAAGAGCAGCTTTCCCTAACGAAATGATCTGTATAGTTTTATCTACTCAATTATTGTTTTTTTCAGTTCCAAGGCTTCATTTTAAATATGATTAATAACTTCTAAAGACATTAGTAATTAAATACCAGGTTAGCTTAGGTTCTATTGGCTGCTTCCAATATAGACATTTATTTATTATTTATCAAATTTATCACCTCCCATCTCATGAAATGACTCTGGGCAGTTTACAGCAAGATAAAATTATTTAAAATGCAACATAAAAACAGTCCTAAAAATAAATAGGTTCCAAGGAGATGGAGAGTTGGCAAGGAATTCCAGGGAGCATCATCAGGGGGCTAACCACCCCCAAGGATGGGTAGATCCCATATCACCCCATGCACACTGACAGAGCCAGGTCTTAAAACCTTTTCGGAAAGCCGGGATGGTGGGGGCCTCCTGCACGTCTGGGGGGAGAATATTCCAAAGGGCAGTGGCAACAGCAGAGAAGGCCCTCTTCCTGGGCCCCACCAGCCAACATTCCCTTGCTGACAGGATCTGCAACATGCTCTCTCTGCCTGACCGGGTAGGACGGGCTGATGTAATGGGGATGAGACAGTCCCTCAACTAACCTGGACCCATGCCATATAGGGCTTTAAAGGTAATAACCAACACCTTGAATTGGACCTGGAAGCAAACTGGCACCCAATGCAGCTCCCACAGCAAAGGTGTTACATGTACCATCCTAGGGGCACCTAATATCATCTGCGTGGCTGCATTTTGTATTTTGAACCCACTGTAGCTTCTGGATATTTTTCAAAGGGTAGCCCCATGTAGAGTGCTTTAAGTAAAGTAAATTTACTTTCTTAATTAAGATCAACATCAGAAGTGCCAACTTCTATAACAATTTCTGAGCTAATTGTGAAATTTCTTCCTCAGGGATGCTTAACAGCCTCTCCCTTGAAATGTTTATTACTTGTTAGATATATTTCTGTTGCTTCCATATTGCTTTTCAATTTTTTTTACAATTGATAGTTAATTGCCTTTGCTGTCTTCACAGAAAAGAAATCACAAATAAAATGCCTTGCTGTCATATTATATTTAAAAGTCAGCAACATTTTGAGAGCTAAGGGCTGCATTTATAATTTCTGGGGGTTGAAGGTGAAAAGTGGTTGGGACCATATGAGTGTGACAGGGATCAGAAGTGGGGTTCTGGAGGGTTTCTGACAGTTGCTATGCATATTTTAGAGCTTATACTATAGTTTGCATGTGCTTCTGACCTCAAAGATACAGGAATCTGGGATGTCCATTTTCAGCAATTAGATCCAGAGTGGTCTTTAGGAATGGGAGAAGTGTTATTTGGGGCCACAGGCTACTCATCCCCTTACTAAAGGTACTTTAGGGCAAAGAAATAATCCCCATTCAACCAAGCAACTGCCCGCAAACAATTCAACATTTTTTAAAATCTTCATCTGACAGAAATATTCTTAACGAGAAGCAATTCAAATAAACCTGCCGCCATCACTCCTAGCAGCCCAACCCTCACCACGGTTAAGCCATCTCAGCCAGACTCCCCTTACCCAAAGCGCTTCCCCAACAGCTTGTTCTAAGTTCTCGGTCGCAACAGCCTGACCGGCCCCAAGTCTGCGCACGAAAGGCCCGCAGTGGCCCAGCAACTCGGCCGTCCATCGGCGCGAAAGGCACTGCACCCGGGGCTCCTCACGCGGAGGTGGAGGAGGAGGAGGAACCGCCGCCCTCAACTCCACCGACTCCATCTCGGTTGCCGTTTCCCGCTCTCTTTCAAAGCTGTTCTTACTTCCCCGCCCACCTCCGCCCAACCCGGAAGTAGAACTAACGACCTTCATTTAATGCATTGCCGCCGTGACGGTGGAACCCGGAAGTAGGTCCGGGTAGAAACAGAAGGTGGGACAACTGTGGTTCTTAGTGCCAGGATGGGGGCGGTGGACTGTCACTGCCATCTCGCGGCACCCGAGTTTCAAAGGGTGAGTAAGTGACTTTGGACGAAGGGGGAAAAAAAATACACCACCAAAATCCTTACTGAGAGCTCTTACTAGGTCACCTGAGATTTGCAAAAGAGTTGCAAACTTTCTTCATCTGGAAATATTGTTAATTAAGGTAGGGTTGGGAAGGATTTAGATGACTGGTTGTTAAGGCAATGTCTGCCCGAACTTGCCGTCTGAAATGATTGCTGGGTGAATCTGAAAAGATATGCGTTGGTCCTATCGGGCAGAATGCAGCAGGGATTGTCCCAAAGCTTGCAAGCATTTGTGTGTCCCCTGGTTATATTTTGGAGGCATATCTTCCTGACTCTTCTTAAGCATCTCCACCTTAGAGTCCAAGTAGGGCTACCAGATGGAGCTGCAGAAATCTGAACGACCGCTGGATGGTAGCAAATATTTAGTGCTTTCTGTCATTTTCTAGTCCAGCTGTTGACATGTTATTTATGAAGAGTTGTTATTGTTCTTTATGAATTCAGCATTGGTCTGTGAATTTTAATTAAGTATATTGTATTCATGAAGTCAGAAATCTTAGAAAATAACCTCTAATACTAGAAAATGAGGTTAGATCATTACCAAGTCAGAAGGATTATCTACAGGATATTGATGGAATATTTACAGGAATATGCAAGCAGCAGAAGAAGAATCTGTAAAAGTTCTAACCAAACTATGCCAGCAAATCTGGAGAAGGATACACTGGTCAACAGATTGGAAGAGGTCAATCTACATTCCAGTAACAAAGAAAGGAGACTTAACAGAATGTGCAAACTATCATACAATAACCTTAATTTCATATTATAGCAAAATAATGCTTAGGATCACAGACTAGACCCTCTGCATGAAAAGGGAGATGTCAGATGTTCACACTGGTTTTAGAAAAGGTCAGGGAGCTAGGGACATTTTTGCTGAGGCATACTGGATAATTGAGAAAGCCAAATAATTCCAAAGAGAATTGAATATGTGCTTCATTGATTATGGAAAGACCATTGATTGACAGGAAACCAGTCTGGAAAGAACATGGAGAAACAGATTGTCTCCAGGTTGGCAAAGCAGTGAGATAAGGCTGCATACTCTCCTTATTTTTCAACCTATATGCTGAATATATACTGAAAGAGGTTGAAGAAGATTAACATAGTTTTAAAGTTAAAGGAGAAAGATCAGTAGCCTACACTATGCTGATGGCACTACTCTGATAGCTGAAAATGAAAATGATCTGGAAGTTCTAGTAATAAAAGTCAAGAAGCACAATGAAAAAATGGAATTAAAGTTAAACATAAAGAAGACCAAACTAATGACAAGGTACAGCAACTAATATTAGAACTGACAATGAAGATACTGAAGTAGTGAATAGTTTCTGCTTTTTAGGACTGACTATCAACAGTAAAGGAACTAGCAGTCAAGAAATATTTTTATTTTATTTATTTATTAAAGCAATTTATATGGCTGCCCGACTCACTCATGGTGACTCTGGGCAGTTTACAGAAATCAGACCCCAAATACAAACCCACTACACCCCCATCCCCTTGGTGACAATACATTCAAACCACCAGGTCTGCTGGCAAAACCATGTCTTCAGGACCTTTTGGAAGAATATCAAGGTGGGGGCCAGTCTTATCTCTGCAGGGATGATGTTCCACAGGGAGGGAGCCACTACGGAGAAAGCCTTTCTTCTTGGTCCCACTAGATGGATCTCCTTAATGAGGGGGACCCATAACATACCCTGCCCCCCCAATCTGGTGGGTCAGGCAGATGAAATTGGGAAAAGGTGGTCCTTCAAATAACCTGGCCCCAAGCCATGTAGGACTTTAAAGATGATAACCAGCACCTTGAATTGGACCCGGAAGCAAATCGGCAACCAATGTAGCTCCCGCAAGAGAGGTGACACATGTGCAAATCTAGACTTGCACAAAACCATGTGCTGCAGACTAGCACTTTGAAGGTAGCAATGAAGGCCTTGGAAAATATATTTGGATGACATTATGTTTCTATACCTACAGAGATCAGAATCGTGCAGGCAATGGGTTTTCAAAGAGGATGACCAGCAGCAAGCTGGATGGACTCAGTTACAGTGGTGATGAGTGCACCATTGGGAGACTTGAAAGAACAGGTTAGGGATAGATTGTCATGGAGAAAATCTATCTATGTAGTCACTAGGAGTTGAAAACAACTTGATGGCACATAATCACTCTGTGAAAGTGAAAGTTAGACTTTAAAGAAGCAGCACAGAAAGAGTACAGTATTGATGCTTTTGAAGTTTAGTATTGGAAAAGACTCCTGAGAACACATTTGTTGCCAAAAACCAAACCAAAGTCCAGAGTTCTCACTCTAGGCACAAATTATCTGGCTCAAATTATCATCTTTTGGATACATTCAGTGAAGACCCATCTCTCTTAAAAAGTTGATAATGCTGGGAAAGGTGGAAGAAAAGTGGAGAAGAGGATGACTACCAGCAAGGTGGATGCACTCAATTATAATGTTGATGAATGCATCGTTGAAAGATCTGAATGGCCAGGATGGGGACATGTCATGCTGGAGAAGGTCTAACTATGTAGTTGCTAAGAGTTGACACCAACTAGATGGCATATATGAATTCAACAATCATAATAGGTAAACTAAATTAGTAAACACATCTGTATGAATCAAATGCAAGCTGTCTTTGTAGGTGCATATCTGGCCTTTTTAAAGAGACATATTTTAATGCATATTGATAGATACAACAATATTTTCTTTTGAAAGAAGGAATTGTCATTTTAAGAAAAAAAAATGTTAGGCTATGTTACTCTTTATAGGTAGAAAGAATAACTGAAAGAAAAGTGTGCTGAATTTTGGTCTTTACCAAATATGCTCTGTTTAAACACAGTGATCTGCCAGCATAATAATATTTTTAATCTCCCCCAGGACATTGAAAGTGTATTGGAAGATGCAAAGAAGGTTTGTAACATTTTTCTGTTGTTATTTTCCCTTTGTCAAACTCTAGAAATAGTTACATCTGCATTTGGTGTTTGGAAATTAAGCAGAACTGAATGTTACGTTTAATAAATCATGTTAAAGTTTGAAACACTGAATGGGTTCAGTGAGCCATAACATGCAGTTTATTTTATTTCATATTAGAATATTGTGTGAACTCAGCTTCCTGTGGTAAACTATAGGTATGCATGATAGAGTAAGCCTTAGTTTATGGCTCAGCCTGTTGTACGTAACCACCCCCTTCCTGTTATCAGTACATAACAGATACATTGTCACTGCTGCTGGCTACCTCACACAGCTAGAAACACCCAGCCATCAGAAAGCTTTCTCTCTTGCCTGATGTCATGCTCTCCCCTCTACAGTATTGGATGGCAAATATAAAAAAAGTACAATTGGCTGAAAGGCTCTGCCCCTGTGATTCTGGAGTGGTGGAAATCCCAGAACATGTTCTTCTTTGTTGCTCTTTTTATAGAGACACTCAAATCAGATTTATCCCTCTGATTAGCAGATATCCTGGTCTCTCAGACTTGGCCTATGCCCAGATGTGGCTTATAGATGAACTGCCTTTTATTACAGTGCATGTGGCTAGGTTTTGTGCAGCAGCAGCGTGGGAGACCCACCGGACCCTGATGGGCTAATTTCCTGCCAGACGGATGTCCTCTATGTAATCTTACATTTTTTTTCTGCAACTTTACATATTACATTTTACTTAAATTTTAGATACTATCACATCTCTGTAATTTTAGATAATCACATTTTATATAACTTGAGAGTCTACTTTATAATCTAGTCATAGATTGTTCCTTTTGGACCTCATTCACAGATTGTAGTCAGGTTGTTTTATAAATGTATTTTAACTTTGTCTTAAATTTTATTTTATTTACTATCTATTAAGATAGATTTATAAATTCTCACCGAGCACTCATGGACACACTGCATGTACTGGTCTAAGGCCATAATAAACTGACTGACATAACCACCCAAATTGTGAATTACTTTAGTAACCCACAATTAAGTCCTCTGTGGCTCAGTGCAGTGGGTTCATAGAAGAAGGCTGCCAGCTTCTGTCCCCTATACATTCATTAACCCTGAGAACTCCCAAGTGTCAGGAAGCCTTTTCTGAAAATTGAGAGATGGAGTGCATGGGTGGCAACTGTTGAGGTGTGAAGGAAATGACCAAAAATGGAATTGAACCATAACTTAGATCAGTGTTGTCCAAACTTGGCCACTTTAAGATGAGTGGACTTCAACTCCCAGAATTCTGGGAGTTGAAGTCCACTCATCTTAAAGTGGCCAAGTTTGGACAATACTGACTTAGATAGTTTGAGGAAGTCTATAGAAAGGAAATATTTCTCTATCTCTTCCTTTCCTCAACTAATTTTTTTTCAGAAGAATGAACCTGCAACTCTGAGGAGAGGTTTTGTGAGACAGAATCAGCATTGGAATAATGTGAGATGCAGAACTTTCCTTCTGTAAACCTTCTATACACAGATTACCTTAGCTAAGTCATTATACTGTAATTTAAAACTTATAATTGCATTTATTTTAAATATGGGAATAATATTTTTAGATAGATTTACTTTGGCACAGTTTTGTGACTTACTGCTTTTAATTCTGTCTAACTTATTTCCTGTTTCAGTCTAAGGTTTTGGCCCTGGTAGTAGTTGCTGAACATTCTGGAGATTTCACAAAAATTATTCAACTTTCGGAAAGGTACTAATTATTTCAAGCCTGTACTGAATGGGATGAAAATAGTTACAGTTTAGGATCTAAAGAATTGCCCAGTTAGTTATATCTATTTAACAGGATTTTGGAATAAACATCTTCATTTGCACTTTTGTTGTGCTTTTTTAAATTTCAAAATTAAATTGAACTCTGCTATTGTTCCTTAAGTATCCGTGTTCAAAGACAATGTCAAAAGATGTATTGAATTTTTGGAATATGTACAATATTTCTTTTGGAGTATTAGATTCACCAACAGTATTTTACAATTAAATTTTAACAACTTGATGTAATTGGATATATGCATAGGAGAATTTCCCAAGAGTTCATTTAGGCCTGGAGACTAGCATACAGTTCCACTGAAGGGTAAATTGGTTTATTATGGTATTGAAGTGAAAGACAAGCTTGAAATGGAGGGAGAGTGGCCTCTTTTTATAGATTTATGCAAATTGTGATATACATTTAATCAGTAGAGTAAATACTTGATTGGGATGTGGCATATGTGTGTTAATGAGATCAGAAGGTGAGGAAATGAGGATGAATACAGTGGCTTCTTTGGGTTGGAAAAAAAGGGGCCTAAGAATGTGCCTGTTAAGAGGTTACTTTTCTCTAGGTGTTATTAAATGCCCTTGCTTTCCAGCACTTCTGCTATTCCTTAGTATCTGAATCAGCATCCATTTGTATTTATGGCTTGGCTGGGTCTTCTGGTTTGCTAATCTGACATCATACTTTCTCCTTCATTCATTATTCAATATATGCTGTATGTATATAAAACTTGAGATCCCTTAACTCAGTGGTGTGCTGGAGCTGGCTCGCTAGAGCCAATTTTTAAATTTTCTGGAATTTTGTGTGCTGGTTGAGAGCAGAGCTGAGCCACTACGTCTAATATGCCAATCAGCTGTTTTGCAGCTAGCTGTGAGGTGCAGCAGCAACAATGGAGCCAGCAGAACCAGTTCTTAAACATTTATCAGCACACTACCACCTAGACTGGTATTCTTTTGCATAAAACAAGTAACGTTGCAGTTGTTTTCAGGTGGTACCCAGACAAGGAATGTATTAGAAATATCAGAATCAGGAATAGAAAAATAATTAACTTTCTTTTATTTGAAATAAGTATTGATTTATTTAATATTAATTTTACTATTGATTCACTGACTTTTCCCATGCCTTAACATGTGTTTATGTCTAGGTATCCAGGATTTGTTTTTGCATGTTTGGGCATCCATCCAGTTCAAAGTATTCCAGCTGGATGTGAACGCAGCGTTATTTTAAAGGTGATATAAAATAAAGTTACAGCTTTAAAGTGCTATACCATTATGTCTATATTGTGTCTTGATTTGTTAAGTATTTTTCAGTCTTTATTACATTGTAGTCAGGAGTTATTTAATCTTACAAGTAAAGAATAAATTTCAATGTGTAAAAACTTGCCTAAGACCACAGAATAGATCCATGTGAAAATGGGGCAGCTTGTTAAGGACTCTCCAGAGGGATCATCAAGATTTCTAACACCAACAGTTTGGTTTAATCTAAATACTACACAAAAAGTAATAAATTCCCATATATTATATGGATGCATAAATAAGTCATATATCTTAACAACCATCACAGAAGGCTCATAACTTTAAGAACACATAAGTAAGAAAAATATTTACAGTAAGTAGATGGAAAAGAAGGCAGAACAAAAATCAAGAGAAACATGAAGCAGAAGCAAATGTGTATATTTTACCTTAACATTCATTTCACATTGTTAAATCTTTCTGCAGGATCTAGAAGAAGCATTCCCACTCATTGAACTGTATAAGGATCATTTGCTGGCCATCGGAGAGGCAAGTAGACTAATCATAACATTTTTACTGGGTCTTTTTGATATATAATTTTTCCTCTGCAAAAAACAGTATACATCACTTAGAATTAAGCCCTAAAAAGTTGATTGAAATTTGCATCTTGGTAAAAGTTTCTAGGACATAGCACTGCAACACAGCCTATGGTGTTTACATGTTATGCAACTTTAGATTTAATTTCTGCGTTACACTTACCTGGAATCAAGTCCTACTGAATAAAATGGGCTTACAATATATGTAGGTGGACTTACACAGAATTGTACTGATAGAATGGAAAGTAATACCAACACATGTTATTTAGATATTTGTGTGACAAAAACACCCCTGTATAATTTCTGTGTGTATAATTGTGTGTGAGTCCTTTAAGAAACTGCATATGCTGAAATATATTATTATATTATATTATATTATCTGTGAAAAATGCATACTAATTTATATATCTTGAACTGTACAAATATAGAATCATTTAAAATAAATAAAATGTATGTTAAGTCTCCACTATACTTATGTGCAGTTGTCATAAATGAGGATATACATATGGGTTGCACAGTATTTTCTACATGACAAATACTTTCTATATAAGAATTTTTTCATGTTGGAAGTTACCCTTAAACAAACATGTTGTTTTTGTTGCTTTTAGTCCCACAGAACAGTCAACATCTGTTGTAAGCTGCATAAAACTATTTACATTGCTGAATAAATGATTAAAGATTGCAAGTGTTTCATAAATATGTATTATTGTTATTTATTTATTTGATAGATTTGGATCCTTCTCTTTCACCAAGAACACAACAGCATGCGTAGCCCTCTTTCCTCCAGTTTTTCCCAAAATCACAACCTAACTTATTTTTTAAATTTTTTTCTGTAGATTGGTTTGGATTTTACTCCCAGATTTGCCAGCAGTGATGAACAGAAGGAAGGGCAACGTCAAGTCCTGATGAAACAGATTCAACTGGCAAAACAACTTGACTTACCTTTGTAGGTCATTTGTTGCAAAAATACAGCTATTTTTATAATTTAGAGAATAAGCTTCTCTTTGTGATAATTATATTCTTTAAATGAACTTATTTTTCTAAAATTCTGATTGCAGTTTACATAGATCATGTGGTTATTTCCTGTACTGTAATTATAATGCAACATTTTTAGATGAATATGTTGCATTATTGTATAATTGTTATAGAGTGATTTGAAATGTTTTCAGACATGTTATTGTTCTGTTCCATGCCCTCTAATTTTGTATAATCTTCAAAACTTCAGCAAGACATCACAGTGCAGATTATACAAAATCTCAGAGGGGTATTGATGTTCCATAGGGCAGGTGCTGGAACAGAGAAGGTGCACATACATGACATGTCATTGTTTTGTGGAAGGAACCCTAAGCATGCTCACTCTTCTGGATCTCACAGGCCAAGCAGTGACGGTTGGAGACAGATGTTCTCATAAATAACCCAGTCCTGTGCCATGAATGGTTTTATAGCATCTTGAATTGTACCTGAAAGCTTATAGGGAGCCAGTGCAGCTTGTGGAGAGATGTTACATGGACGCACTAAGGTGCATCCATAATTACTTGTGCCACTGCATTCTGGACCAATTGCAGCTTCTAGGTGGTTTAAAAGTGCAGCCCCATGTAGAGCACATTGCAATAGTTTAGACAGGAGATGACTAGGGTATGAGTGACCATTAGAGTCTCCTTATCAAGGAATGGGTGCAGTTGGCACACAAGATATATTTGTGCAAAGGCCTTTCTGGCCATGGCTGCCACCTACTCTTACAGCAGGAGTCGAGTCCAAGAGGACCCTCAAATTGCACACTAGTTCTGTCTGGGTGAGTGTAACCCCATCCAGGACCAAAGGTGGAGATCCCAGAGTAAGGGGACCTAAAAAACCACAGCCATTTGGTTTTGCTAGGCTTGAGTCGAAGCCTGTACTCCCTTTCCAGATCCACAGAGCCTTGAGATACTGGGAAAGAACCATGATTTGGTTGCCCTAGGCTGGAGATATAATTGGTGTATTGATGATACCTAACTCTAAATCAACAGATGATCTCACCCAGCACTTACCTATAGATTTTAAATAAGGGCAGAGAGAAAGTAGTCCTGGGGAGTCCCAGAATGCAGCGACTTGGGCTGAATCTTTCCCTCTTCTACCAACACTGACTGGAAATGGCAATGGAAGGAGGAGGAGAACCAGTGTAACATCATATGTCTCACTTCTAAATCATGAAGCCAGTCTAGAAGGATACCATGGTTGATGTATTAAAAGCTGATGTAATGTATGTGAGAAAGACCTTGAGAAATAGGGCAAAGAGATGCTGCCTAGGGAACAATCAGATAAGAGAGGGCAGAGCCTGCAGCTGCATAATGGGTGGAGAAAAAGACTCAGAAGGGATGCTTCCTAACTTCTTAGGCTGTAAAGGAGACAGTAGATGATTTGTGTTTTCAGACTTGCAAGATTCTGTTCATATAGCCTTACTAGAGTAGAATTAGCTCATCTGGTCGTGTTTCTTGCCTGGTCTACCTGGGAAGGCTGACAGCTGCTAAGAGAACAAGAAAGGCTAGGATGGATTCATTTCCTCCATCCTGGTCCTGCCAGAGGTAATCTAAAAGTGTGATTAATGCTGTCTCAGTGCTGAATCCTAGTTTGAAATCTGACTGGATAATCCACTTCATTCTGGGCCCTCCGTAATTGCAAGCAGACAACCTTCTCAACAACTTTTCCCTAAAACGTGGGGAAATTTGTCTAGTATCATTGGATCCAGGGAACATTTCTTGAGAAGGGGTGGACCACAGCTTCTTTAAAAGCTGAAAGTACCACTTGCTCCCTCAAGGAGGCATTTACCAGTGCTTGGATTCAACTACATGCCATCTCTCAGGAAGCCTTAACCAATCAGGAGGGACATGAATCTAATATACAGGTGGCCACACTTACAGCATTGAGGACCTGGTCCACTTTTTCAAGAGTAACAGGTTCAAACTCATCCTATGTATGCCAGACCATGCCCCAATCATGTTCAAGGGATCTGCACTCAGAGGGAATCTGAGCAATTTTATTCAACAGATGCCTAGAGTAGTCTGCACAGGGCCCTTGTAGATGTACTTTCATTTCTCTACATCCTTAGGAGGGATCAGGTTATTTTAAACATGGCTGTGGGACAGCTATCTGTGGACATGATCGAGTGGAAAAATAATTACATTTTGCTGCTCTTATCACCACAAGGTTGTCTTTAAGAAAGGATCTTATCTGTGTTCATGCCTTATTTTTCTCCAGTGGCACTCTGGGCATTTTTTTCCCCCTGTTTCATCTTCTGGAGCTTCTCAGAGAACTAGAGAGCTCTCTGAGATCTACAGACAGAAAGAGGCTGCACTGGTGACCAAGACCATGGTTGTTTCCTTGTTCCATGTGGTGATGAGGGCCTCAGATGAACCATGCATCAGGGCCTCAGGTACAACCCCAAGCTCCTTTTGAAACCAAAAAGGCTTAATCAGGCACCTGGGTTGGACTGATTGAATAAGTCCTCCCTTGCTGCTATGAGGAATAGTCACAGCGAACTCTAGGTTTAACGACGAGTGAACTGACCAAGGCAAGGGGCTAAAGGTGATATCTCTACATGGCACAGGTTTAAGCCCTACATGGCACAGGGCCAGGTTATTTGCAGAACCATCACTCCCTGAAGGTATCTGCCCATCTCACTAGGACAGACAGGATGGTGTGCTCCAGATTCCTTTCCTCATATGTTGTCATCTGGTATGACCTCAGAGGTGTGCCTTCACTGTAGCTTCCCCAGCCCTTTGGAATAGTCTCCCACCTGAGATTCAGGGGTGGCGGTGGGGGTGGGGGCTACCCTTTTAGCTTTCCAGAAGGCTGTAAAGACCTGTCTCTTCCCCCAAGCATTGGGCTAGGATGGGGCTGTGTCAGGGGGTCCATAGTATGGTGGTCTGCTACCTGGTGGGAAGGCTTTGACTTGTTTTTATGTATTTTTTAAAATATTTTTTAAAATATTTATTGGTTGTTGCATGCTGCCTAGGATCACTGTGTGAGATAGGTGGCCATATAAGTTATTTAAATAACTGAATAAAAATGTTCCAATTTCAGGCCATACTACCACTGCACTAAGATAACAACCAGATCTAATATGTGGCCGCTACTATGTGCCTAATTCACAGAGTTATAAGAGGAAGAGGAGCACAATCAAACTTGCAAGATTATGTTACTATAGTCAATCTGAATGAAGGTAGTCTTTGGTATTCCAGGGAGCTTGTTTCTTGGTCTGGTTTGCCTTGTAGGGCTGTCATCTATCAAGATTTAAGAAAATGGCTTAAAGAATTCAGTGGCAAACTTCATCTCTCAGATGAATTAGCTGCTGGCCTAGATCTAGTTGATGACCCTCTGATAGATATACCTTTGGTCTTCTTTCTTTTGTCTATCTTCTGGCACACATCCATTGTACTATTTGTATTAGTTAGTAATTTGTCCAATGTCTCCTCTTTGGTGAGTTTTCTTTTGAGGCTTACTCTCAAATACTTCATAGGCATCCCCCCCCCCCCCCTCTGCAATAACACCCCGCCTCCAAGGCACAAAAAATACCTTCCTTATTTTGGGTCCTAAATTCTTTTTTTCCTCCACAGAAGAAAAAATTGAGGTGTT